TGCAGTTGCTGTTTATGTGTTAACCAGTTAAAAAGGTGTAGTTGCCTGTTTGTACTATGTACGTCTTCTGACTTGCTCATACTGTTTTTGTAACTGATGTTTTGCCTGCTGCTGTGGAGAACATAAATTCCTATTGCCATGTCTCTCAGGTTGTATGAGGTCACTTGAGTCTGACACAGTGTTTGGCTGTCAGAACTTGTACTGCTGCCCTGTTTCCTGCATTAGTCTCCTTGTTTCTGGTCTCTGTGCTGGAACTAGGGTTTGTGCCATTGGGATCTAATGTTGCTGACAGAACTTAGTTGGCTAGTTCACTGGGTGGCCACCCAAGCACCAGTGTGACAGAAGAGTGGGAGACGTGGAATGTAAGAAGATGACAATCTGGTTTAATACCACTGTACAAGGGGATTGGCTTCTGTGACTGCTCCCACAGCCTGTGGGTGTCGGCTGCCTCCTGAAGAATCCTTTGCAAGTTCAGGACACGGTTGCATCTTTGGGTCTGCAAGACATGGGAAAGCGGCTGAACAAATGTTGTTTTCCTTTTTTCCTTTCTCTTCCCATCAGAAGCTTGGTTAGAACAGCAAGGGTGCTCATGGATGGGTGAGACGAGCATCTTTGAAACTTCCAAACATCGCAGGAAGCTTGGTTAGAACAGCAAGGGTGCTCATGAGATGAGCATCTTTGAAACTTCCAAACATTGCAGTCCAGAATAGCTACAGGTGATGGCTCTGACTGTTCTCTACATGCCAGCAAATTCAAAAAGTATGGTTCCTGATTGCCAGCATGGTTTCTCCTAGTGCAACAAACATTGAATAGCTTCTAGACTTCAGTGTCAAGATGAATTCTTACTACCACAGGAGGAGTTAAATCAAGCTAACAATTTTGTAGTGAAAACTTTGCTTAATTCCACTTTTGCTAACTGCTGAAGGCACTTCAGTGTCAAGATGAATTCTTACTACCATGGGATGAGTTAAGTCAAGCTAACAATTTTGTAGTAAAAACTTTGCTTAACTCCACTTTTGCTAACTGCTGAAGGCATTTATTTGTCTTTGGTAGGTCTGTCAACTGCCTTGTTAAGATCCCAAACTACTAGCTAGCATGCTAAAGGCGGGCTCAAACTGTTTCTATTTGGAAGGGCTGTGGAACTGCATTTTAGAGAGAACTAGGGAAGCAGAAAGGATTTGTTTGTAGGCAGGACCTACTGGTATCCAGCTTGGAATAGCCTCGTTTGTCCAAAATGTGACAGTCATCTTTCATTTCTTTAGAATCCAAGTTGAATCGCAGAAAGATACTGTCACAGAAGCTGGTGGTAGACCACTTTCGGACACTGCAAACTGATCTTGGAAGGGCTGTTGCTGCCTGAATGTTGTAAAATAGCACTCATAGGAGAAAAATGCTCTGTTCCACTGTGAAGAACAATATCGTGGGTATTAGATGACTGCTTTTTTTGCCAAGCGGCTGACTCTTAAAGCAAAAAAAACCTTCTGCCAAAGAAGAAACAAAATTGGATTCCTTCCATAGCTAGAATTGGGTTGACCCAATTTATTTCGATGTTCAAAAACCACTTCAGTTGTTACCTCATGCTTACTCCAGAAGAAATACTTTTAATAATCCCACAGTTCTGACATATTGCTAAAATTACTTGGGAAAAGGACTATTTCATTTGCTAGGCATCCTAAATGAGCTTTTCACCTGATGATGTCATATGGTCAGTAGTTGTGCAATAATTGAAACTGACAGAAGAACCGAGACTGGGCTCGTGCTCCGTTTCTATAAATCAGTGTTGCTCAGATCTTTGGAACTGCATTTCTCACAGAAATGCAGCTTTCTGTCTTTGCAGGTATCCTTATTGTCTCAAAAAGAAATATCAGATTAAATACTATGAATGGGATTCACTTTGAGATAAGTCTCTCTGCTCTTACAGTTTAAGTTTCCTCATGACCAGTTTCAGGGAGTGGGTTGACATACTGCCTTTGAAGTGGAGTCATCTTTATGTGTAATTTTTAGACTTCAGGGGGATGTAATCATCTGCTGAAGTCAGCTTGTATGTAAACAGAGTAATTGCATGCAAAAAGTTGTGTTAGGATTTAGCAGGACAAGACTTAGTGCAACACAACAGGTGACCCCAAAGAATTGCTTCACAGAACTGTGTGTTTCTTATTTAGGGAAGTAAACTCCTCTTTTAGGCAAAGTGCAACTATCCATGGTTACCTTTCATTTGTTGTGCTAGGTTTGCTGTGAACTTAACATTTTCCTTTTCTGAGCCCCAAAAGGGAAGATAAGAGGGACTCATACAACAAGGTTAAATACAATATCAGTCATTAACTGTGCAAGTAAAAATGTAAGGAAAATTGTGAGTAAAACTGGGTCTTAAGGTAGAGAGCGTCAGGTTTCCTTTACTCAGATTTCTGACATGAAGTGTTTTGAGCTTTTTTTAAGATAGGTTTTTAGGTTGTTGGTTTTTTTTTTTAAACACCAGTTATCAGATTCTTGACCAGAATTTTTTAAGGCTTCAGAGTGAGGTGTATCCTTTAGAATTCTGGGGAATTTACCCATCCAGAAGGGGCAGTTTCTCTAACCTGTATTGAAACCCAAGGAGCGTATTTCAGAGCAGTTCTCATCCTCTGCTCTCATCTGCACCAGTGACGGTCGGGCTGGTGTTCCAATTACTTCCAGTCATTCCTTGCTGTCTGTTCACTACCCATGTTTAGGTTCCTCCTCACCATGCAGTGAGGTCACTATCTATGATAAGTCATCTCTTCTTACTTGTAACTTCCAGTCATTCCTTGCTGTCTGTTCACTGCTCATATTTAGGCTACTCCTCACCGTGCAGTGAGGTCACTATCTGTGGTAAGTCATCTCTTCTTACTTGTAGTAGTAATAATAATATGTTACTTAATGGTAATAGGTAGCTCTGAGAAGTGCCATGTAACTTCAGGAATGGTAAAGGACAAAGCAGGTGCATTGAAAACACGACTCAGCACTTAGCCCTTGGTCAACAACAACTGGGGAGTCCAAAGTCTGCCTTTTCTCAGATGAATCAGGCATGTGAAAAACAAATTATCCAAGTGCTTGTTGAGGAGAGTTTGTTTTAAGCACGAGCTGGTGTAAAATTTATCACTGTTGGGGGAGACAGACATTTTCATAAATTCCTTTAGAAAAGAAATAAAAATTGTTTCCAAAACTACATATACATTCAGACATATTCCTGGAATTTGCTGCACACATTATCATTAAGCATTGACTGTATTTACTGTATTCATTGTAATTTTTTTTTATACTTAAGTTTAGAAAATGTTAATGGCAGAATATTGTTCTCATAATTAACAAGCTGGCTTTTTTGTAGTGTTAAGTAGAAATACTTGTGTTTAATAGGACAGGTAAATTTATAACCTGCCTCATGTTTAAACTGTTGCTTGCTAGTATCTCCTTTTTTACCTTACTGTTTAAGTTTGCCTTTTCAGCAACTTTGCTTCTAAGTAGTTCCTTTGACCAATATCTTTCTATTTAAAGTAGCATGTTCACTTGTTACTACAAACTTCTTAATAACTTGTCCTTCACATTATTAGTTGCAACAGAAATGGAGTCAATGCTTATATTCTATATGCTGGCCTATGTAGAACAAGTAAGATTTTCTTCTAATTCCATAAATTGCCACTGGTGTGTCTTACATAGATGCAACCAGTTCAAAAATGTGTAGCATCAGGAGACCCTCTGATCTTTGTCTTGACAAATGTTGATTACCGTGCTAAACCTTTCTTGCTCGGTTTAGTCTGTAGAGATGGCTTCTCTAAACAACTTTCAAAGTTTAGTTTTTAAATATCCTTGAAACTGAGAGGAAAATGATGATGTATAAAAAGTAAAATAATTGCAGTGTAGACATGCTGCTCTGAACTGTCTGGGGAGCTCTCATGGGCATAAGCACAGCTGTAATTTTGTGGTGGTAGTGAGTTGAGACTGGAATGTATAATTCTAGAATATGGTTGTTTGGTTTTTTTCCTTTAAATTGCTATCTTCACAGAATATTATTTCTATTTGTACTATGAATATGTATACCAGATGTACAAATGAAATCAGCAAAGTGCTATTGGAGACTTCAAGTTACCAACATTGTGGTACTGTCTGTCTTAACTCAGTAACCCCAAGTCTCCCACGATACATCTCCCCTCCCATCTTCCAAATCTGCTCTGTCTCCCTTCAGGAAACTTAAATATCCCCCATCTCCTCTTCGTCAGATGTGTACTCTGTGAAAGAGTAAATCCTAATGCAGTGGGTATGAGGAAACTCTAGCAGACTCCCCGTGAGTCAGAATACCTGCATCTTGGATGCTTCGCTTTCTGCTTCCCTGTCAGAGAAGATGCTCTCTCTCGGCACCCTTTGTGCCTCAGTTGGAACCGAGACCAGGGTGGTGGCCTTGGAGCAACCAGGCACTGCCTCCTGCCTTCACTGACAGTCAGAAAACGATGCTTTGCTGCCCTCATCCTGTGCTGAGGAGCTGAGTACCAACACGTCACCGCTTTTGTTTCTGCTCCTCTATATGGTCTATCTCAGGAGGGTCCACAGATGAAAATCCCACCTCTGATACAGTTTATAGGTTTCTGTGAATCTGTTCTGGACAATAGTGACTCAAGTTCAAATCTGCAACTCTAAAATGTGTTAAATGGTCAGATAATGTGTATTAATCAAAGGAGGTTCTAGTAGGGCTGAAGTAGCTTTCTGATTGTTCATCCAGATGTGCCAGCAGACATGGTGTTTCATGTGCCTTTGAAAGGTAAATTACTGTATAGTTGGGATCCTACACCAAAGTTAAAATTATATATTATATATATACTTTTAGTCAGAATGTAACCCTGTTTGCAGCCTTGGTCTGTAGGGCACTTCTGTTTTTACTGTCACTGGGAGTCACGCAACCCTTTATATTACAGATTTAGCCATATGTATTACTCCTTCAGGATCGAAGAGCCTCTGCAACAACATCATTGATTTTTGCTTTTGTTTCCTAGGCTGTGAAGATATTATTGCTGAGAGCATCTCACTAGACACCTTAATTGCCATTCTGAAGTGGAGCTCTCAGCCCTACGGTTCCAAGTGGGTACATCGTCAAGCGCTACATTTCCTCTGTGAGGAGTTTACCCAGGTCATGACTTCAGATGTCTTCTACGAGCTCAGCAAGGACCACCTGCTCACAGCTATTCAGTCTGACTATTTACAGGTAGCCTGCAATGCAGAATACAGCTGGTCCTGCTTGAAGCAGGCTATGTTACACCATTACTAAAAGTGCTTGGCAATAGCTCATTTTAAATTGTAGGCAAGTGTGGATTTGTGTGCACACTAAGCATTCCTTTATAATATATAAAAACTGAAATTGAGGTAGTGATTAAGAAAACTGTTTTGTTCCTGTCTTGTAACACAAGCCAAACTGGTGGCATATGCTATTGCTTAGAAGCCTAATAATAGTTTAGAAATGGCTGCAAATTATTTTATATGAAGGTTTTCTGAACCTAGCATTTGCCTTGCATGTTTAAGTGTTTTATAAAAATTGTGCTGGTAGTAGTTTTGCTGTAATGATGTACATCTTAATTAGGGGCAGTGGGAGCTAATAAACTAGTAATTGTTCAGAAAGCTTAATTTATTTTTGGAGAGAGACATAAAAATACCTTTTCTGACAAGTGTTGCAGAATTTCTTTTTTTGTGACTTTCCTTCAGTGATTGTGTGGTTTTAGGGAGAGGAAACCATACTGACTGATAGAAAGCTTGTGGATTTTTTGCTGCCACTTCTCTTTTAAATGATGACCAGCCTTTTATAACTTAAAGATGATTGGTTGGGTTTTGTTTTTTGGTTTTTTTTAGTTCTTTCTGTTCCTAATCTTACCTTATTTTAAAAAAGTATAAAGTGTTAGAGATTACTTAAAGTGGATATTTTTAAAAGAAGTTTTGTTTACTTTAGACATTTCAGGAATTACAGTAACAGTACTGCTGATCTTCCATGAGAGTGGGTATTATGACTAGATTTCATGCCCTAGTTGTTAAGAAATGGGGTAGATAAATTTAAATTTTTCAGTACCTGATTTTTTTTCCTCTAAAAATATTGAGCAGTTAGCATATGTATATAGATGTGAACAAAGCAAAGTTGTTTTGTTTATAGTGTTACTGCAAGTCTTCCTCTTCACCTAGATTATAATTTAGTTGATTATTTTCATAGCTTTCCAGACTATGCATATACTGAATTTGTAATGTTAAACAAGAGATCCAAACACCTAGTGTTGGAACTGCCTCTTTTAATTAACTTTAATCATTCAAATTTAATACTTGTAACTTTCCATGATAGACAACATTTTTCCTTCTGTGAAAGTTTTTCTTTTCCCCTCTTCCTAGGGATTAAATAAGTGATGTGAATCTAGAAATCATACCAGTAGGACTACCTTAAAATGTTTGGAGCAAGTGGTATAGCAGATCGTAAAGTACAAATACTTCATTCTCAGTACAGTTGTGTTTCTTTATAGCTGTAAAAGACCCGTGTATATGACTTTTACTTTTTGTGTGTGTGATTGCTGACTTTCTCTTTCTATCAGGCAAGTGAACAAGATATTCTTAAATATCTGATTAAATGGGGAGAACACCAGTTGATGAAGAGAATAGCAGATCGAGGTAAGGATCTTTTAAACCACACAGCGCTAAAATAAATAAACCAAAAAGTATGGATGTTCTTTTTCGTGGGTAATTTGTAACTTAAGGGAATTTAATCTACTTTGTTCATAGTACAGTCAAAACTAAAGAAATGTGGAGTGGTTTTTCTTCAAAAAAACCACGAACTTTTGTTCTCAAAAAGAAAAAAGAGAACGCAGGCATTCTGATGGAGCTGGGATTGTTTAGCCTCAAGAAGGAAAGGTATAGGGGGGAACTTAGCAAAGTCTATAAATATCTAATGGCAGGAAGCAAAGCAAACAGCCATGCTCTTCTCTTGGCACCCAGGACAGGATGAGAGGCAGTGGGGCATTCACTGAAACAGAGGACATTCAGTTTAAACACAAGAAACCGTGAAGATGGTTAGATACTGGAACAGATTGCTTGGACTATTTATGGGGTCTCCATCCTTCGTGGTGTTCAAAACCTGACTGAATGTAGTTGTGGGCAATCTGCTCTACCCTGTCTGGGGAAGCGTGGGGAGAGGACAGTGGCTGTGACTGGGCCAGAGTTCTGGAGGTCCTTTAATCCTGTATGATCGTCTCATTTTTAAGTCTGGTTGATTTCCTGTTGTCTCAGAATTATTTTCCTTCTAACTAATCCATCAAATAAAAAAAGCCCTGCAGTATCTCTTACTTTTCTGTGCTCATGCAGGCTTCTCACATTAGTCTTATTCTTAGTTTACTGTGTCAACCTTTTGCTTCAGTTTGTTTCTCTCACAGAAATCTGCGAGAAAATAGTGAGAAATAAGCCATCAAGCGACATCAGTGTTTTTCCTAAAGTAGATATAAATATATTTTTATTAGCTCAGACGTGTATTATTGCTACAGTGGTAACTTCAAGGGCAATCTCACATGCGTTGGATGTGGGAAGTAGATTAAATATATATTTCCCAAATAACAAATGCAAGTAGCTTGTGGTCCATCCCCACCCGCAAAGTGTCAATCAGACGGTACAGCAAGAGGAACAGAAAGGGAAGAGCCTGCCTGTGTGAAAAGAGAGGGGTGCTGCTGTGGCTGCTGTCTTCGGAGGACTGGCCATGTTTTTTGCAATCCACTGCTATTGTTTGTGATACAGTTGCTTTGATGTGGATATGTTGCATGAAATGCAACAAAAAGTCAGTTAAAATATGTGTTTTTTAGTGACCTGAGTAAGTATTAACTTTCTGTTTTCAGAACAAGATTTTCTAAGTGTTTGTCTTAGGGCATGCTGGAATGTAATGGAGCCAGTTAAACAGTAACAGCCCTGGACTGGGAAGGAGCTGCTCATTTGGAGCAGCTTCATGGTCTGTGGTGTTCATTAAGTAAATGGCTTGTTTATCTTCCCTGGGATCATCAGCCAACATGATAAGCAAAAGCAGAAATAAGAGCTAGGCCATGTTCTGTCACATTAGGGCCAAGTTTATTCTAGTAATTTGGTCTAAATTTCCCAGTACCCTCCTGATTTTGCAGCTCTGAATGAATAGTGGTGCTGTCAAGTCAAATACCAGAAAACATTAGAAATTGTAGTGCTCTGTGGCCAAAACTTGAGCTCCCTGTACTGAGGGGAGGATGGGTGTGTTTGACAGGTTTCCCCAAGGAGTGATGTTAGTCAAATTCAGGTTGGGCACAGTACCTAAAACACAGGTGAAGGTAGTTAACTGGGGAGGGAGAATCACCCCAGTGCATCATGTGTAGTCATCTTGCAATCTCTGTGAAGATGTGTGTCTGTGCCAGAAGTGGGGATCCTGTGTCCTCGAGAGCAATTTGAATGGGCTTGACACAGTTGTTACTAAGGTGGGTTACAGAAGGAGGCTGCAGTCATTTATCCCAGGCCTTAATTTGTAGAAAATAAGTCTCTGAAAACTGCTGGGGCGTGGGAGAGGAGCTGCAGGAGAAAGTCCTTTGGGGGTCTGCTAGCAGGGAGCTACAAATGTTTTCATAGCATAGCTCTTGGTAGAGCTTTATAAACTACACCAAACACAATTTCTATGTTTTCTCTGTGCTTTACACTTTGAAACTGACAGCTGTGCAAATAACCCATGCTCATATAAACTGAACCTGTCTCTATGGATGCTTCATATTGGATTTTAAGGCATGAAATAGTTTTGTGGAACAATGTTGATAAGCACTGTTGATTTAAAATTGTGATTTTCTTTCTTTCTGTAAATTCCTATAACCCCTGTAAACTCGCGCTTTCCTGTTTCTTTTTGATTTAAACGTATTATTTTTCGTTCCTTCCCACAGAGCCTAATTTACTCAGTGGTACTGCTCACAGTGTGAATAAAAGAGGCGTGAAGAGGAGAGATCTTGACATTGAGGAGCTGAGAGAGATCCTGTCTCCACTTCTACCTTTTGTCCGCATTGAGCACATCTTACCCATGAATAGTGAAGTACTGAGTGATGCAGTAAGTCAGTCGTCTTATACAAATACTATCTCTGGGTTTTTTGTACTTCAGATTCTACAATGTTTAAGTTAATTATTTTTTTTAAAGGATTAGATCCTAAAATGTTATCACTCAGAATAATGTGTGTATAACTATTTTTCTGGTTGAATTTTCTGTTCTTTAAATCCAAAGGCTAAAGCAGTTTCTTGCAAGTTTTTTCCCATATTTATATTTTTAAAAAACATAAAACTCTTTCTTGATTCTTAAAGATGAAGAGAGGCCTGATTAGTACTCCTCCTTCAGACATGCTACCGACATCAGAAGGTGGAAAGTCAAATGCCTGGCTGCGGCAAAAAAATGCTGGAATATATGTGCGGCCAAGACTGTTCTCACCATATGTGGAGGAGGCTAAGGTAATAATCATTAATGACACTTGACTATTGTTAAATTAGGGGGTTCTGTAACGGAAAGATTTTGGTGTGTTTTGTCTCTCTTTGCATGTACTGGCCTAAAATACTAACATTTTCAATTTAACAAGACTTACAAGATTGATCATCAGGCTCGAATCTCTAGAACTGGTCAGAAAAAATTCAACCAAATTTTTTTTTGTCGAAATTGAAATGTTTGCGAGACAGATCTTGATGAAATTCCACCGGAAACAAAGCAGCGTTCTGAGGGAAACCTCCCTGGTTTCCAGCCAGTTTGCCGGCCCAGCTCCTCGGCAGCCCTCCTGGCAGGCGGATGGCAAGGTGAGAGCCTGAGAGTCCCAGTCTGCAGATAGTCAGCAACCTTGGTGCCAGGTCTTTCAGGCTCCCCAGCTCCTACCAGAGCTGGGTGGAGAGCTACTATTCCACTCAGCAGAGGACTCTGATATTTCATCTTCTTGTTTGAATGGGAACATATCCAAAGTTCTTTCGATCCTCCGCAAAATGGAATAAATACCTTGTGTCCAGTTTGAATTCCTTGGTGTCGTGCTCAAGCAGTGGCTTCTCTATTTGACATTTGTGTTAGGTCTGTCAGGCTGAAGATCTTGCAACATCTCTGATGGTGATGTTTGGTGACAGTGTAGAGATGGCTCTGTGTGGGGCAGGAACATGCCATATTCTGTTTGACAGAATTGGGACCTTTTTAGGTCACTAACTAATGCTACCACTTAAGGCAGCTCTGACTTAGTTGAAGAGCTCGTGAGCCCCAGCAGTGACTGCAGGGTGACTGCAGAACAAGAGGATTAGGTGAAGCTGTGCACATCCACATCACCTGTGAACTCCGGGCACTGCTCTGGTGAATTCAGAGCTTTTGCCCTGTGCCTAAGAAAGAAAATACTTTCTACGGGTGTGAGTTGTTGTTGACATCCTCTTTGAGGGGAGAAATAGAACTCTGCATTTTGGGCACAAAGGTTAGAGAGCACCAGGTGGCACTAAAGCAGCAAAGAAAGACTAGCCAGTTAAAATTTAATCTTTGTCTCTTGAATTGTTAAAACTAACAAAAACATATTAAAGAACATATGATAAAAGCTTTGACTTTTAGTTTTCAGGTTATACAATATGGGAGCACTTTAGTAGGACCTTAAAGTGAAAAGTGCATTCTAAATTATTTTTTTATCCCTGTTAAGAATCCTGCTTGTTTCTATCAGTTTCATATTATGCTGTTAATATTTTTAAAAAATCATGAGCTATTTAACCTTAGAAGGGTTAAACTTATTATCTGGTAACTATACTCCTATTCATAGTTCAATTGGTATGAAATGCAAAAATAGTGGACTAGTGATTTCTGATTTTTTTTTGTTACTGCCCTGTTAGCCTCCCTTTTTTCTAATTAAATCCATTTAATATTAAATAAGAATCTTAAGGGAATATGCATAAATTCCTTCCTATTCTTTAAGACATCTGAGGGAAAGATGTCTCATTTTCAGACTAATGCCTTCTACTCAATGGCACAGAGAGCTGAGACCTACAGGCAGTGATGGTCTGAGACAGAATCCAGGGGGTCTGGCCTCAGGAAGGTTACTTCTAGCCCAACAGGTACAAAATAAAGGAAGCAACCTTCCCTAATTATATTTACCTGCCTGCTCATAGCTCTGAAACTCAACTCTGATCATGACTGGAAAATGGAATAGAAAACGTGGTGGAAAAGCCAAATACTGTTTGAGACCTGGAAATACTATGTTTTAGACATTGTTAGAGTTGTGGCCCCGATGGGTATGTGTGTGTGGTGCCTTCATGAGGGCTTTGATGGCTGTCGTTGCAGTCGGTGCTGGATGAGATGATGGTGGAACAAACCGATCTCGTTCGTTTGCGGATGGTTCGAATGTCCAATGTGCCCGACACCCTGTACATGGTCAACAACGCGGTGCCGCAGTGCTGTCACATGATCACCCACCAGCAAGTTAGCACTAACCAGTCCAGTCCTCCGTCGGTGATAGCCAATGAGATCCCAGGTAAGGCTGCTGGATCGCCTGCGGCGCTGACTGATCTCATGGGTGGGGGCTTGGGGCTGGGGGGGGTGAATGTGAATTATTGAATATCTGAAGGATGCCTATAGAAGAGCTGGGGAGGGACTCTTTGCCAGGAAGGGTAATGATAGGACAAGGGGAAATGGTTTTAAATTGGAAGAAAAAAGATTGAGATTAGAAATCAGAAAGAAATTCCTTAATGTGAGGGTGGTGAGACACTGGAACAGGTTGCCCAGGGAAGTTGTGGATGCCCCATCCCTGGAAGTGGTCAAGGCCAGGCTGGATGTGGCCTTGAGCAACCTGGTCTAGTGGGAGGTGTCCCTGCCCATGGCAGGGGGGTTGGAACTAGATGATCTTTGAGGGCCCTACCAACCCTAACCATTCTATGATTCTATGAATATTATGATTTCCTCAGAGAGTGGTTTGCACCATTTGGGATTCCTCCCACCCACTGGTAGTCGCTTTTGCTTTGACCTGCTCTGAAGATGTTAACTACTTTTGGATGCCATTGTAACTAGTTAGACAGTAAGCTACTGGAGTGGGTAGGTACTTTAACCTGCTTCAGCTGAGCAATGTGGAGAACCTTGGACTGGTCAAACTTACTGTAGAACTTGCTGGAGCCTGGATCTCTGTTCCCAGAGTGGTTCTAAGTTTTCTACAACCAGTCGTACTGGTAGTTGTCTACCTTATGGGGCAGTCAGTTTAATGGAAAACTGGTGAGCCCTGGGCCTGGCCAGAAGTTGGAGCACAGATATTGTAGCCTCATATCTGCCTGTGCTGCTTAGTTCTGTAATTAAGCAAAATAATTGGTTGGGGGTTTGGGGTTTGTTTTTTTTTTTTGTCAAAGCCTTGTGCTAGGAAGGGTGGATAGAGCCCAGTTAATTTGAGGAGATTCCGGCATGTACCAAACCAATGACTTGGTACAGGAATCCATCCCAAAGCATAGATGGGGCACAGGAGCTGTTGGAGGGAGAGGTTGGCAGCATCACCTCCCTGCCCTTAGGCCGGGCTCTTAGAACAGGGGGTTCTTTACAGCTTAGGTATTCTCCATCTGTCACTCGTGTCTTCTTTGTACCCTCTGCCCATGGACTTTATTTTCATAAATGCTACTAGCAGCATGTCTTGGTGCTCTTTTTAGAGAACTATTGTAAAATGAGTTCAGCCTCTGCTGAAGTCTGCTCTGAGGCTATAGTGTTCTACAGGTTTCCTTAGGTATTTTCCAGTTTGTTTGAATTAGAGATCCTGCAACTGACTCAAGAGAATTGTATTTTTTTTATATGTGGAATCCCTCTTCCAAGTGTTTCACATGAGTAATAGTAAAAAAAAAAAAAAAAAAAAAAAACAGAAAGAAACCTGGGTTTGAGAAGATAGCACTCTTTCATTAAAAACTTTGCTAATTTTTATGCCTACTAGTTTGGAGAACTGCTTCAGACTTCTCTAAAATCCTATTTTTTCAGTGTTAGCAAAATGCTGGTTGTAGCTAAACATCTGGCTGCTAAACTGGGATTTTTCAGAACAATTCCTTTGGAAGGTTTTTTTTTTTTAAATTATTTCAATATGGGTGCATAAACCAACATAATTTTTACAGGTTTATGTTGGCTTGCAGTTTGTGTAATCTTTTTAGAATGCTCTTTCTGTAGTTACATGCTGGTATTATGGTCTTGTGATTACAGAATTCCACTAGAAGTGTGAAGTGTATGCCAAAAAAATCAATGAATTCTTGGCCTGTAGAATTCATGAGGGAACATTCAGTTGCTATTTAAGATACCCTGCCCCCACCTCAAATCATAAAATTCCTGCATCATAAGGGGTTTACAGAGAAGACTAGCAGAAGCTGGAAAAATGGTGTATGTCATTACCATTTGTTTGATATGTGTGTTATCCCGTGTGCTTTAATGATGCTTCAAGGAACATGTAAGTTGAACTGTTCTTTGCAGAATGCTGCTTTTAAAATAAAAAAAAGTCAGCCTGTTGTTAGATTTTTCCTTCAGAATTAAATCTAACCATTGCGTTCAAACTTATTGTCTCTCAGTTCAAAAAGTAATCTCTGTTATCCCCATTCCATTCTCTGTTATCCCCCCAGTTCCCAGTCTCCTCGTTGTGAAGGAGATGATCAAACGGCTGCAGGAGCTGCGTCACACGGAGCAGGTGCAGAGAGCGTACGCGCTCAATTGCGGGGAAGGTGCCACCGTCAGTTATGAGATTCAGATCCGTGTGCTCCGGGAATTCGGGCTTTCTGATGCTGCTGCTGAACTTCTGCAGGTATGAAAAATTGCCGTCCAAGTCCACAAATGCTTTGGTTCTCTTCTGCTTATGAATTGATTTGGACGTGCAACCTGCAATAAGACAACTACTCCGTGTTTGCAAAAATTCCTTTAAATGCCTGTATAATTTGAGAAGTGTTGAAGGGCAAATTCCAATGAGACTGTTGCGTTTGATGTATGTGATTTTGTGAATGTGCAAATGCAATGTATAAATATTTTTCTCAAGAGTTGTTGCCGTTCAGGGTGCTCTTACTGCCACAGATTTTGGGGCCCAAAAAAATCTGCCAAAGAGGCAGTTGATAAGAATAGTCAAACCATAACTAGAAATCTTATTTTTATTATGATTTATTCTTGAATCCGAGAGGAGAAAAAGTTCTAACTAATACAGTAAATCTGCATAATACATATCAGGACTGGGAAATTGGAAATCCCCCTTCTATTTGTACACTGCTCTTAAAGCACACGCATTTGTTGGTCAGCTTATTCACACAGTGAATCTGGTCCTTCTTGTCTGTTTTCTTTTTTTTTTTTAAAGAAATATCTATTCTGGGGTAGCTGTAATCACCTGTAGTGTTGGTGAGGTTTTAGGTGGCACAGCAAGCCTGGTACGATACTATTTCTAGTTCTGGTGCATGGTAGTTTAGGAGATTTTTCTAGATGAACTCCTACTTCGTGGTGTTATATGCTGGGTTTTTAACTTTGCAGAATCCTCACAAATTCTTCCCTGATGAGCGATTTGGGGACGAAAGCCCACTCCTGACCATGAGGCAGTCCGGCCGGTGTCGCGTTAACAGCACTCCCACTGCAGAAACCATGTTTACAGAACTGGACTCTTTTGTGGCCTTCCATCCACCATTGCCCCCTCCGCCGCCTCCATACCACCCACCAGCGACTCCTATTCATAACCAGTTCAAAGTGGGCTGGAAACAAAGGGTGCCAAGTCAACATCCCTCCCGTTCCTTTTCTTACCCCTGTAACCACTCTCTGTTCCACTCCCGAGCGGCCCCCAAAGCGGCGCCGCCCGTCTACCTGCCCAGCGTGAAGGCAGCGCCTCCCGACTGCACCAACACCGCGGGGCTGGGGAGGCAAACCGTGGCTGCAGCAGCAGCAGTGATGGCAGCCGACAAGCAGGTCGTAAGTATTGTGATTTCTCCTCTTCTCCCTATCCCTGGCCACTCAAAGGAACTTCCAGAGAGAAGACGGAGGGAATTAGCTTGGCTTTGTTAAATAAAAGAGCATTTTTTTTTTTGGTTAGGAGAATAATTTTCTTCCAAAGTGGCTATCCGCATTTTGCATCCCAAAGGTGTGCCCTAACCCCTGGAAGATTCCATTCTCCCAGGGGTAGGAACATTTTGTATAGGCAAGGGGGACTCGGGAATCTTCTCAAATAATGCATAAAACACAGGGCAACTTCAGCAGTGGACTGCGTGCTATAATTCACGGGCAGAAATAGTAATGATGCTTTGGCTGCTCACAGATAAGTCGTCCTGAAGTAAACTAAAGGGAACCTGTGGAGTATGTGAAGGCCTTGCAGCTCTGGAAAAGATTTTAAAATGAATAGGCCACTAGAATTGGTAATTGCAAATACAAAAAGCTGTGTTGTAGCATTTGAAGACAATCATTATACTTGCTGAACCAAAACATGATGCAATGAAAGCGATGATGACAAAGCTGCATCTTTGTCCAGTATGTTAAATAAAAAATTTGGTAATTTATTTCTGCAGTGAAAACCCTGTTTCAGTGCACGGTTGTGTCGTGCTGAAAACCTGCTCCTTAGACGCAGATTTATCTGGAGCTCTGAAAGGAAACAGAGATTTATTTTATTTTTTTCCTTTAGCAATTGTCCTAAACACATTGCAATCCTTTTTTATATTTTAGGTTAAAATATTAAACTTCAAATTAGAATTATTTGCCATTGTTCAAGGGAGGGTTTTGTAGCATGTAGCATCTCTCTTGATAAATACTGACGTCACTAAGGAAACCATTTAGTGATCTTTTTAACATTAGCAATGTTTCTGTTAAAATGTTTCTATAAAAAAAATACAGGGAGAAGCACAGACTTAATATGGGTGACATATTTTGTTCTGTGTTCTTCCTGCAATTTGCGAGTTACTAGTAATCAATGGTTACTAAAATTGCTTTCATTAGAAATTATAAATACAAATAGGAAATTTACCTCTTCTGTCTGGAAGACTGTAACATGCTTGTCTTGTTGCAGGATTGCTCGGAGGGGAGAAAAATGCCACGCAACAGCTTCTGTGCACTTTGTGGATGCAGACAGCCCCTGGCACTGGTGCTGCCCCCAGGGCCCGGGGCTGTTGTGCACACACTCAGTGTGCCTGCAATTAACTTTACAATATAAAATGCAGGCCTGTGCTGGAGCTCTGTGCTCTAACAAACCCCTTTTAAGTTCTGCACCGAGTACCTTGTTTAGTTGGATAATTGCAGGTGGCTTAAAGCAGATGTACCTTTGGAGAGTTTAACGGTACATTTTCTGCATATTCAAGACCAGATGCATTTAAGAAGGAACTATTATTGTGGCACAGCAACTTCATGAAGGAAAGAAGTTGTCTTAAGCTGGCAGGAAGGTGAAGGTTGGGGCATACGTGTGTTCTCTAAACAGTGTAGGTTGGTCCAGGCAAAGGTAGATCAGGAAGATGCCGTTTTGAATTGCAGAAACACTCTTAAATACAGTGTGTGTTTTAGCTTTTGCTTTTGTTTCCATGAACAATTTCTTTTCTTTTCCAGTGTACTCAGCCCTTGCTAAATGAGCTGATGCCAGATATCGCGATGGGTGTGTCGGCGATGTCTTTAAAGGACAGAAGGTTACCAGAGCTCACGGTCGACACAGAACTAAGCCAGCCGGTTACAGAGGTAGGGCCCGGTCCACCCCAGCACATTTCATGTCTTCAGAACAGACACATGCCCACTTCTCGAAAGAAACATGCAATAGAGCAAAAAATAGATGCTCGCGAAAATCAGCAGGAATACCCTGACTTCTATGACTTCTCTAATGCTGCATGCAGACCCTCCACTCCAGCACCCAACAGGCACAGTCCTTCGCCTTCACAAGGCATCTATTTTGGCCCAGATTTGTATAGCCACAACAAGGCATCACCGAGTGGCTTAAAGCCAGCCTATCTACCTTCCCAGATATCTCCTAAAAAGCAAGAGGAGGCTCGGTGGGAATACCTGCTCTCCCAGGACGGGCACCAACACAGACAGAAGAATGAGCCAATACACCTCGATGTCTTAGAGCAACCTCCCCAGCGACTGGACCTGGCCTTGGCTGCCCAGGAGAACGCTGGGAATGGCGCGGGACATGTCAGGGGAAGAACCAAGATGGAAACGGATTTGACCTACGGGCTGACCTCCAGCAGGGCCCCGCTCCCTGCCTACACCCCTGAGATGCCAGAGGAGAGACCCAGCAGGAGACTGACGGACGACGAGCCGTTGGAACCCGGCGCACAGAGAAACGCGGATTTGGAAAGGGAAGACGCAGCAAGCAGGGGAAGGAGGTCTCCAAATAAACCAGACTTCCTCTACAAAAAATCTGCCCTATGAAAGCGACCTCCACTATTTCTCTGTGCCTAAGAGTTAGTTGTCAGCATCCCATTCTCTGCAACTTTTGGCCTGTCTTCGGTCAGATGAGTTTGTTCATGCCAGCAGACAAATTCGGCTTCGCTCACCTCTTTTTGTGCGTACATCGCTTCCTTAGAGACAGCATGACATCAGTTTGGGTTTTGATGCTGCTTCTGGTTTTATTTTGTGGGGAATTTTTTTGGAGCAAATTTAATTTAGCCTTTTGAAAAAAAAAACAAACCACAAAACCCCAACAAAAACGTTGGTACCTTTTTTCTACAACCTGGTAGCCTTTTGCACCTGTACATCTATTTTAGTGTATTAGTTTTGTACTAATATGTTAAACTTTATTGTCACATTTAAAGGACTGTATTTTCATACTTTTGCATTTTCCCTTCTGCCTGCCAATTCCCGATGTGCATTGGGTTGCACATCATGAAATGTATTTTCTTATGAGATAGTAACAATGCGTTTATTTTTTAATTATAGGAATTCCAAAGAACAGCACATCAAAATACTACATTTTTAGTTACATTTTTTTGCTTGTTTAGATCTGAAATCTTCCTGATTTTTACAGCTACGGCAAGAATCCAGTCTAAAGTTTTGTTTGAAAAGTTCTGGCAGCTGGTCTTATCCTTCTATAGCAAGCCCACTTCAAGAATTATATTTGGGTTTTTAAGAGTCCGGGGGGATATTTAGGAGTCCAAATTCCAGTGAAATTCACTGGGATCCAACAGTCTGGTTCTGCTTGCCTTCTGGTTCAGCTGTGACTGTGGAGAACTCCATGATCACCCAGAAGCACTTACTAGACAGACTAGAATTGCTCATTTGCCCATGCAGAAAGAAATCTAGAAATACTGTAAAAATGATAGTAATAACTTGTTCTTCCAGCTACCTGTACGTGGGGGTAAGTGAAGTCTGGAGTGAGGATTCCTGCTAAATCCTGGAGTGTCAGGAAGATGAGGCGTAGTGTCTCTGCTGTTGCCTGAATGGTGACCCTCTGCCCGAGGGTTCTCTCTCCAGCCGCGGTGCTGAGGTGGCTGCCCATGGCCTTGCTCTCTCCTGCCTACGGTTACTAAAGGGCTTCACTCTCAGTGACGTCGTGCCGTGTTCCTGCCCTGACCCCAAGTGCTGCCGACTTCAGAGTCGCAGCTGTTCTGTGAACAAAGTCCAAGAGAAGAGTAGCTGCTCTGGCTTCGTGAGTCGCGCGAAGCTTTAGCATCCTTACATTGCACTTCCCTTCCCCAGCTTGGCTTTGTTGAAAGCACAGACATGAGATTCACCTGTTGACGTGGTGCAAAGAGGGAATGATCGTGAGCCAGGCTCACGTCGGGGTTAAGCAATACCCCGGCTGTAAGCCTTATCCTGAAGTGGATCCTTAAGGCTTCCCAGGCAGTTTTCACTGCAGATTCACTGCATTTTGGATAGGGATCCTGGTGTCACCGCAGCCTAGTGAGTGCTGGTAAAGGCCTGTTTGCTTTTTCTAAATGCAGTTCCTAGAAAGAAGGATTTCCCTGTAGTAGAAACCTTTAATCCCAGGCGTGACCTAAGAACTGCTTTAAGGTTGGGTTGTTTCCTGCAGTTCGAAATGCTTAATACTATTTAAACAGAAGTCTTGCTGCAACTTCTCTTTTTATTTGGTGGCAGATTCTTACCCAACCACTTTCTTAAAAGTATGCAAGGCCCAGTAACACCACCGCAGTGTTACTGACATACATGGAATACTGCATTTCCAAACTACCAAATAATAGCTTTTACGTAACTGAAGATATGGGTCTTTGAACCAAAACACCCTCACGTCTCCCCTGCGTACACCTCTGGTGGCCTCCTGCTGCTGTGGCAGCCCTGCAGACACTCCATTTGAGATGCAGCCATGGAAGGTGTGGTGTAGGACTGGAGGAGAAACTTAGCTGAGCTGCGCAGGTGATGTGTCCTGTGGGTGAGGGGAGGTGTTTGGGGGTTGGTTTTTTTTCTCTGTCAGCCTTTTTTAATCTAGATTCTATTTTTTTTTGAGCACAGTCAAGACTCTTGGTGGTCCTGGCCCCGTCACCAGTCGGTGGTATTTCCCTGGGGCTGCAGTGTAGGACATTGTTAAAGGCAAGGAGGGGTGGTGGGGGACGGTGCTGCTGCAGGTTGGGGACAGAGTTTCGCTGGGTTTGCTCTGGAGGTGTGAGGCTGGAAGCATTCCCTTTCATCACACACACAAAAAACCCCCAAAACTCCCTGCATTTGTCATGTGTACATCCATAGCTTAATTACTAAAATGTTACAGCTCCCCTCGGAAGACTTCCCATTCTGAATAATTTATTTTTACCTAAAATTGTTAGATGTGCTTTGAGAGAACTATTTTAGTTCCCGTAGTTGGATGTGGCACTGTGTGCCTGGACAGAGATAGGGCTGAAATCTACAGATGGAGCTTTTAAGCTTGAAATTTTTGGGGACGTGGCTGATGAAAACAGAAGTTTTGAGGTTATGGCTTGAGGGAAATCTTGAAATGCTTGAGCTTTGGAATAAGCTGGTGAGAAATGCTTATCTTGGGGAGGGCGACATGGCTGCATTTTAGAATACAAAATTGCTTCTGAAGTTTCAGAAGCTGAGCAGTATTAAAAAGAGAATTCAGTGTTTAAAAGTAGGTGCAAAGCAAAGACAAGTCCTTCTGAGGCCACAAAGACAATCAGGCCACGTAGACAATCTGCCTTTTCTCTTGTGTATTTTGAGTTGGGAAGAAGATGGCGGCAAACGGCAGCTGATTCTTAGTGGAAGAGAAGGATTTGTCAAATTCCTGGAACTGTGTTTTTTTTATACTCCAGCGTAGGATTTCCTGCCTGGTTGGACTTGCAGAGGGAGGGGAGAGAGACCATGTTTATTCTTCACAGCAGCATTACTGGGAAGCTTGTGTTCATCCTGCATCTCCCTGGCGGAACACACCTGCCTGTGCTCCCTGCTGCTGCTGCTTCTCTGTCTACTGAAACTTTGGTGCAGAAGCTCCTTGTTTACATGAAGCACTTTCTGATTAGGCTGGAAATTAACATCTTTTCCTCCTCTAAATGTGATGGAGATAACAGATTACTGGTTATCTTTTGCTTGAGGATAGAGGTATGAACATTTAAGTTTTCTTGGCCGAGGCAGACTCGTGCTCCTTGCTCTAGTCAAGAGAGAGCTCAGACTTTCATTTAGTGAGCAACATGCAAAAACTTCCTAGTCCCTTCTCCCTGACCCCCTCCTCTTTTCCTTAATATATGGATGAATAACTTAATTCCTGAAACAGATTCTTCCTTTGAAATGTTTTCTTGTTCCACAGAGTTACTGTAGTTGTATGTTAATAACTGCTGTGTTGATTGGCAGTTTCTTGTTGTATTTTTCCTGTTCTTGAGGAGTTTCATTTCTGAAAGTTAAGGCTGTGGCCGCCTGTACTTGTAAGCCTTGGGTTTTGGTCCTGGAATGTCCCAAATGTTTGTCTTCTGCGTTCCTTTGGTTTGGGTTTGGTAGGGGTTTTTTTGGGGGGTTGGGTTTTTGGGGGGTTGGTTGTTTTTTTGTTTGTTTTTTTTTCTTTGGAAAGAACACTCCTGCTGTTTGTTCTTCTAGTGAGGATACACTTACATGGTGGGGGTGGTGCTGAGCTCTGCCCAGCGCAGGAACAGCCGAGAGATAAAGTTGTAAAACGGTTATTTGGGGTTTCTGTCATTATCTGTACTGCCAGAAGGTCGCCCTGCCTTCGGCAACGTTACGGTTTCGTTTCTTGTCCTTGTGTTGTTACTGGTATAAAGTCAAGTGCCTTCAATGCTAAAGGCTCAGAAAACTTTCTTAAACTGACTTCATGTCCTATGCAAGTGTTTTTTCTACAACCTGCATAACCAGTACTTTGTAAAACTTGTTTACGCTTCAATTGTACATAGTGTTTTTTTAAAAAAAAAAATAGTATTTTTATTTAGGTACCTCCAAACTTGAATTCTAGTCTTGTGTGATGCATTGTAAAACAATACATTTCTCTTTTGAGTACCATTACAGTTGTAAAAAGGTTTTCACTGGTTCTATTTTTCTACTGTTGCTGAGAAGCATGTAACACTGACTTTATCCTACGTATAGTTGGCATTTCAAATAAATGGCTTGTATAGAACCTGCTTGTGCCACTTCTTCCTGTGAGCGGCTCCGGGGGCTGCTGAGCAGTGGGACAGGCTGAGCCCCCCGAGGGCTGGCAGGAGGAGCCCTCTGGGACAAACCCCAAGGTGCCCTCCAACAGCAAAGGCTCCTACCACTGGCAGGGTTTGATGTTCCCTCCGGGGGGAAAACCAGCACGGAACAGTGCTCTGAACACCAAGGCTCTGGTACAAACTGGTGTGAAAGGAGGAATTCAAAATGAGCGGCACTCGCTGTTCAAGCAGCTTGTTAAAAAGGAACAGCTCTTCAGTCAAACAGTTCAGTGAGTTCTTGTGGCTAATTGAGGGAGACCATTGGCTACTTGAGGCAGCAGCGTTACTGAGTCGAGGCAGAGGGACCACGGAGCCCTTCATCTGGGAAGTGTTGATTTTCTGAGCCAGACAAAGACGCTCATTAAGTACCCGGTGTCCCCTTCCCGAGTGGCAGTTACTCTGCATCAGCTGAATAGTCATTAAATCTCTTTCACAGAAACAAGTGCTTCCCTACTTCAAAGAGATGACTCAAGTCTGGAAGTGCCACCCTGCAGCAGAAAATCTTGACTGGTCTGGCTTTGCTGTACAACAGCAAGGCGGGGGGCTGTGTCCCAGCATAAACCCGGGTGGGGTAGGGGGAGAGAGAGCTGCGTGGTCTCAAACGTTTATCGATGCCTTCCCTCCCGCAGCCGGGGACAGGAGCCTTAGGAGCAACTTCCTGAAGTAGCCAAATTTAATGTTTACTGTTAGATGCTTTCTGTTTGCTTTGCAGCAGCTGCTGACGCTATAGGGGACGCTTTAGGAAGGAAGCAGAGCCGCACGGAAGGAGCGTTAGGGGCTGAGTCTGCTTCAGGTAAACCCCTCGGCTGATCCCAAGAATGGACAATGGGTGTCATCAGCCCAAACTCCAGGAGAGAAGAAACATCATCCCCTTCTGCTGCTGCTCTGCTCAAAAACATACCCATCCCCTATCTAATGCCTGCCCGCACTGGCGTGGTCAGGGTGGAGGCAGAGCTCTAGGAACCCCCGACTCAGCCCCTGAGCTGTGTCTTGGCCCCGTGGGTCATCACCGACTCTGGGTCCTGGATGAAAACAAACCCCTGCGGCAGCACGTCAAAAGAAAAAGCCCCACGACAGCACAGATTGAACAGTTCTTTAATCTGTAGGCATTTTAGTTCAATACGCGGTTACACCTCCCAGAACAGTTGCTACAAAGAAAGCACATCCACTACCCAGAGTTAAATTTAAAAGCAACTAGTCATTTCGCATGAAACAAACCCATGAACTGAGCCCCTACGCTAGAACTAGCTTTTGTAAATAAAAAGTGGTCAGAAACTATTGATAGGGAGAATCATAGAGAAAGGGCTGCTTTTCTTCTCAAAAGTCATTACCCTGGAAGCAGACTAGTAGCCCACGGTAAAGAAATCCTCTGACTATGTAAAGCAGGTGTTAAAAATTAGAACTTTCTTAAAGTATGTTTTGGGGCTTGTGGGTAAAGAAAACTAGAAACTACATTAGGCTCCAAACGAAATCCTCTGACTATGTAAAGCAGGTGTTAAAAATTAGAACTTTCTTAAAGTATGTTTTGGGGCTTGTGGGTAAAGAAAACTAGAAACTACATTAGAAAAAGTCAGTATTTAATTGTAGCTAAGCGCAGATTCTTAAAAGTCCTGTTAGAAGTTCTAAAACAACCCCTCCCCATGCTTAATTTGTAATTTAGTACATTGTTTATACTCCAGTGAGGGGAAAAAGTTCCCGTGACAAATTTTTGCATGTAAAACATCGCTGTACAATAGTAGAAACAAAGATATTTTTTTTTTTAATTTACAAAAACAGAACCCTATGATTCCTCATTTTTCAGCTGCAGTCCCATGCTGTTCGGTTCCCTGATACCACCCCAGTGTTAGGGTTCTACCCCACAGCCACGGCCTGTAGCCCTGCAGCAAACACACGTGTCTGTGCAGGAGCCTTCACTGGGGTCTCGGCCCCCCAAAGTGATGGCGCAGGAGGCGGGAAAGCAGAGACAAAGAAAAGCAGGAAAAAAGAAAGCAGGAAAGCTGCTCTCTCCAGCCCCAGAGAGCAGAGGGAGCGCCTGTTCCCTGCGCTGCGAGGCAGGGGGGCAGGCAGAGCCCGCCCAGGCCACCGCGCAGCTCCCGGCAGGGTGACACAGGGGACAGGCTGAAGGGAAGGCACAGCGACACCCCCTCAGTGTGAACAAACCATCCACCCCCCGAGACAAGGGCAGCTTTCAGGGGAGCAGAGCTCCCTATAAACACAATGTACCTGGTAGGAAGGCTGTCAGTCGCTACAAGTGAGGGAAGCATGACACAGAATGAAGGTGTTTCTTGGAAAGTTGGATTTTTGATGAGAAGCCAAATACTGAAGATGTCTCTTCCGTTTGCCAGTGAGTAGTTTTCCCAGCTCTCCCTTCTGACCAACACCCTCTCAGTCTAACTGCAGTAGTACTGCATCCTGTTCGTCCGTTGCCTTTTCCGTGACTGAAATTCTTCAAAGAAGTGCTGAATGTCTTCTCTTTTAACCACCTGGGCGAAGGGATGAGAAACCCACATTCTGATACAAGAATTCAATTAAATGATGCTTTTTTCTTCCCCCCTGGCACGCACCCCACACGTCACACACAAAGTGGGTACCACGAAATCTCTCTGGCGAAACAGCTTTCCTCTCCCCCCAAAGAAAACGATTAATGACCAAACTCTATGACAAGAAAATACAAGGGGGGAAACAAGTGCCCCAAAGGCAGAACAAGCCCATGGAGCAAAAGCTCCCGAGGGTCTTTGTAATGGGTTTGACCACTTGCTTGTATCATCAGAAAAATTAAGACAAAGCAAGACTTTCATTACCTCACTTCAGGCTTATTACAATGTAATGAGGAATGGCAATTTAGCAAATAAGCCAAGAAAATGCGTGTGTTGATTAATAATAGCATGCAAATTCTTCCAGAAAACAACTGACACGAGTGTTTGCCAGTATTTAGTCAATCCTTATTCTTCTAAGGGTTTAAATTTCAATCTAAGAAAAACCATAAAGGTTAAGAGCTTTTTTTCCCTGGATACCTCTCCTCGAGCAACAGAAGTTCCATTTAAATTCAAGAGCTGCTCTCAGTATGTTATAGACAGATTCCTGCAAGGTCCCTGTTATCTCTCAACAACATCATTAAGGAAATGCCACTTTTAAATTCTAATCAAAGCAGGGATTTTGAATTCCTGCTGCAGTACCAGTAACTCCAAGAGACAGGAAAAAAATATTTTCACAATAGCATCCCAGAATTTGACACCCACCCCTCAAGAGCAGTTTAAAACACGTTTTCTGGCAAACAGATTCTGGGAGCTGCACCTTACCGTTCCCTCGTCTGCAAATCTCCTGAGATAGTCGGTCAGTTCCGTCTTCAAATCGTTGTATTCTGGACAGAGAAGCGAGGGAAAGGAAACAGAAAAACAAGAAGAAACCCAGCTTTAGTTTAACACTGGCTCAAGAAGACATGCCAGCTTTAGTTTAACACTGGCTCAAGAAGACAACGTGTTTTCAGCTGCAGTCCCATGCTGTTCGGTTCCCTGATACCACCCCAGTGTTAGGGTTCTACCCCACAGCCACGGCCTGTAGCCCTGCAGCAAACACACGTGTCTGTGCAGGAGCCTTCACTGGGGTCTCGGCCCCCCAAAGTGATGGCGCAGGAGGCGGGAAAGCAGAGACAAAGAAAAGCAGGAAAAAAGAAAGCAGGAAAGCTGCTCTCTCCAGCCCCAGAGAGCAGAGGGAGCGCCTGTTCCCTGCGCTGCGAGGCAGGGGGGCAGGCAGAGCCCGCCCAGGCCACCGCGCAGCTCCCGGCAGGGTGACACAGGGGACAGGCTGAAGGGAAGGCACAGCGACACCCCCTCAGTGTGAACAAACCATCCACCCCCCGAGACAAGGGCAGCTTTCAGGGGAGCAGAGCTCCCTATAAACACAATGTACCTGGTAGGAAGGCTGTCAGTCGCTACAAGTGAGGGAAGCATGACACAGAATGAAGGTGTTTCTTGGAAAGTTGGATTTTTGATGAGAAGCCAAATACTGAAGATGTCTCTTCCGTTTGCCAGTGAGTAGTTTTCCCAGCTCTCCCTTCTGACCAACACCCTCTCAGTCTAACTGCAGTAGTACTGCATCCTGTTCGTCCGTTGCCTTTTCCGTGACTGAAATTCTTCAAAGAAGTGCTGAATGTCTTCTCTTTTAACCACCTGGGCGAAGGGATGAGAAACCCACATTCTGATACAAGAATTCAATTAAATGATGCTTTTTTCTTCCCCCCTGGCACGCACCCCACACGTCACACACAAAGTGGGTACCACGAAATCTCTCTGGCGAAACAGCTTTCCTCTCCCCCCAAAGAAAACGATTAATGACCAAACTCTATGACAAGAAAATACAAGGGGGGAAACAAGTGCCCCAAAGGCAGAACAAGCCCATGGAGCAAAAGCTCCCGAGGGTCTTTGTAATGGGTTTGACCACTTGCTTGTATCATCAGAAAAATTAAGACAAAGCAAGACTTTCATTACCTCACTTCAGGCTTATTACAATGTAATGAGGAATGGCAATTTAGCAAATAAGCCAAGAAAATGCGTGTGTTGATTAATAATAGCATGCAAATTCTTCCAGAAAACAACTGACACGAGTGTTTGCCAGTATTTAGTCAATCCTTATTCTTCTAAGGGTTTAAATTTCAATCTAAGAAAAACCATAAAGGTTAAGAGCTTTTTTTCCCTGGATACCTCTCCTCGAGCAACAGAAGTTCCATTTAAATTCAAGAGCTGCTCTCAGTATGTTATAGACAGATTCCTGCAAGGTCCCTGTTATCTCTCAACAACATCATTAAGGAAATGCCACTTTTAAATTCTAATCAAAGCAGGGATTTTGAATTCCTGCTGCAGTACCAGTAACTCCAAGAGACAGGAAAAAAATATTTTCACAATAGCATCCCAGAATTTGACACCCACCCCTCAAGAGCAGTTTAAAACACGTTTTCTGGCAAACAGATTCTGGGAGCTGCACCTTACCGTTCCCTCGTCTGCAAATCTCCTGAGATAGTCGGTCAGTTCCGTCTTCAAATCGTTGTATTCTGGACAGAGAAGCGAGGGAAAGGAAACAGAAGAACAAGAAGAAACCCAGCTTTAGTTTAACACTGGCTCAAGAAGACATGCCCTACCTCCTCTTGTCATTCCTTAGATCTACTTGAGACAAATCCAGATTTGAACTGGATTATAAATAATATTAATGATAGAAAGAAAGGCGAGTCGAGGTAAACATGAGAAGCCTAATAATTTATCAGAGCAGCCTACGCAGCTGAGTATCTGTTCCGGTGACCTTCAGAGAACTGTACAGAAGTACACTGAGTGAATTAGTGCAATTAATTAAAAGACCACACCTGCCCCCAGCTTCCCACTGCAGAAGCAGGCGTGGGCGGTGGTGGGAAGCCCTGCTGTAACTCAGGACTGGGCACGTGTCCTCACCGGGGACAACCCCGCACCCTGAAGAGGGAAACTCGGCCCCGGTTACAAAAACTGCTCAGACACGGTGCCAAGGCAGGTTCTAGAACTGAAGTTGTACTTACCACAGATGAGTTCTACTTGCTGGACTCTGTTCATGCTGTTAAGGGTGTCCATTAAAGGATCTCTCCTCTCTGTTTCTTGGTCACTTGTACCTTTATTTTCATAAGCCAAGACAGTGTCACATTCATCTGTCAGGAACTGGACTTCAAGCTCTGAATACATTTTCTGGAGAATAAATTAAAATGCATGTTACAAAACTTCTCAGACAGAGGTGCTCTCCCCCAGTCCGTTTCGTGTCAGTATCATCCCAAATAATAACAATAAAAATAATAACATAAATTTTGTATCCAGCTTTTCAGACACCACCCCATGATGACTTCCAGAGCCAATACTGGATTTAAAGCAACAAAGAAAACACAAATGTTTAGAAGCTCCTTCGCACTTAATTCCAAAGGATTTGGTGTGTTTCGTTATGTGGGGTGGAGGGGGTTTTTAGGTGTTTATAAGTAGAGTAAGAACATTTATACAGATTTCACCTAAGAGCTTCTCTTCAGAGATTCTCTGGGAGCTCCCCCCAGCTCCCCCCCATCAGTGACGGTAGAAAAGACAGAATACATACCAAACAGTCTGCGCAGGTGCATAACTTGCTTCTCCAGTTTGATGGCCAAAAGGTGGCAGTATCTTTTTTTAAAAATTGCTTGCTTTGAAGTTCTTTCAGCTTGCAGACTGGCCCCTCACTCTTCGGAACTACCTGAATTAAAATGAGAGTGTTCAGTGCCCTGTAACGTCACTTCAAATGCACTCCCTTCTTCCCAGCACCTCATTTCCCTGATGCAAGATTCTTTTGTCTCAGCCACACGTATTTTTATAAGCAACCTATATCACTATTTCATCCACATGGGAATTCTGATATGCTTTTAGCAGTTTCCACTGGAAGTTTCTGTAGAAATGTAGTGCAATAACCATAAATGTTTAAGAAATCTGAGCTGGACTATCATGCAAAACGCAGGTACGATGCAGAATACCCGTGTTACAACAGACTCAGGAGTCACCCCCGTGTAAAGGCCGGGGGTGGACAGGAAGGGATGGATCTGGCCTGTCTGCAAACAGACATTACACCCGTGTCACCCACTTCTGCACACACGTTCCATGGCCTGCGCTGTGCTCCACAGCGACCGTGTGTTTGAAGTGGCAGTGACTGAAGAGGAACACGGGAACAGACTGAAAGCATCTACCTCTTCACCACACCTACAAAGAGGTGGGCTTTACCTCACCTACCATCAGCACAAAGACCTACAGGACAGAAAAGAAGGTCCGTCTTACCTCTGGACAGGCAGACCCCGAGCTAGTGGACGGTTCATTAAACAGTTCCATTTGCTTTTCCTCCTTCTGTTCTTCGTGTTCCACTCCACCTTCTTTTTTTATTTCTTTTTTCTGCTCTTCACTTTCCTCAACCTTCAGGACAATCCCTTCATCTTCAAGGGAGTTCACTTTGGTCAAAGGAGGAACTGGAAGATATGTAAGAACCATGCCAGAAAATGTACAGGCTACCACAGATGTTCTCTGTGCTTTATGGTGCAGCATCAGAGAGCATCTACACCACCATGTCACTTGCAGAGTCCTGGATATACTCTACAGCTGTCCAAAGACACAGTGACCTACAAAGAAACTGCTCCCTCTTTCACCATGGTCTTCTTCCCCCCTCATACTCCCAAAATACTCCGCTTCCCAAGATCTAAGCCCAAGGAGAGGGAAAAGGGTATTATAATCTGAGATAGTTCTGTAGGAAGATGCTTGTCCTTCTTGACAACCCTTGCCAGCTATCACAGGTTCAGTAGCCGTTGTGTACACGTTTTGCTGACTTTGTGTCAGAGTCCTTCATTTTCTCCAGACACACGCCTCAAAAACTCTATGACAGATTAACTACACTAACCACTTCCTCATTTAAAGTAAGTTTTTTCTTTTGATGCCAATTCAAATGCATGACATAGCTGGTCAGGAGGAGGAAAACCAAAAACAAACAAAAAAACCCCATTGTGTACTGTATTTACATTACAAGGAAGAGAACTCTTCCAAGGCCAGCCTGGAATTGTTAAAATTACCGTTGAAATTTCTGGCATGTGGGAGATCAATCACCAACTGATACAAGCAATATTTAGGAAACTACGCGAATTCAATCCTTTCCACAGAAATCAAGTCATCTACCCATCCCACAGAGACCAGGCAGCAGACAGAGGCCTGCTGTGACCGCAGGGAACGCGTGTCCTGAGCCCTGCCCCAGCCCTACTCAGATTAGGGTTTTACACATTCATTTCAGATCATTCTGTCATTCACTCCTCGCTGCTCAGAGCCTCGGCTGTTTGCCTCATCGTTTCTTTTAGGATAGCTCTTCAGTTCTTTGATCCACTTTAGAAATTAAGTTCCTGGAGACGAATATTATATCTCCAGCACATCTCTGATAAAATATATAGAAGAGCGAGCACCACAGAACTAACATTTTGGAATGAGAACTGAAATTTATTTTTTTTTAAAGAACAATCACTGCAGCCCCGCATGTTCCACTGATGAAGGTGACTGTCCAATATAATGAGTATAATTTCTCCAATCCCTCAAACAGCATTATGTCATTAATCAGCCAAGTATAAGAAATACATATGAACAAAATATTGGCTTGGATACCATAATTTTCTTTACCTGCAAATTGCGACGCATAGGCCCACAGGAAGTGGCAGTGATTCATGCAGGCTTGGCACACCATTTCATGGAAGTCTCCGCTTTCAGGGGGAACAGCACCAAGATGCTATCAAAAAGAAACAAGCACGCAGCAGTGAAGCCTTTGCTGCAAATTAACAGACTCAACTCTGGCTTTAGAGGAAGTAGAACATCGACTGCCATCACATTTTCAGCACAATCACACACTCCTGCGAACTTTCTACAATGATTACCAGTATAATTTATAAGACCGGGAGGGGCTGATAAAAATTCCGGGGAAAAACTGAAATAATTCTTTGTCTGTAGCCTTTTATGCCTTCTACATACCCAGAAATCTCAGTCCTATCTTTATCTAACATTGGACAGGTAAAGATATCTATTGCACACTGAACATTTAAACTCTTAAATAACTTATGATTAATTCCTTACATGCAAGAGGCTCTAAGTCCTCATACTGAACTTGAGAAGAATTAGGTCCCAGAGCTCTCCATGAACTGGTGAGAGCAATTTAGGCAATTAAAATCACTTACTGGCTTTCTTTTGAAAGGCACTCTTGCAAAGCTCACAGTACACAGCATAACATTTATACAAAAGAATCCTATGGTTTATCTACAGAACCCATAATTGAAGCCAATCGTCTTTTTTAAATTCTTTGATCGTGCAACTTCAAACATGGAATTTCACTCATGCCCTTCAAGGCACAAGAGGCTGAATCCTTAATGCTTACACATTAAGTAGGGCACTCACTGGAGTGCTGAGCTGCTTTTAAAAGATTTCCCCAAAGTTCATAATCAGGAATCAACAGCACAGTTTGCTCCTTGCTATTTAAAGTAATTACAGCTTAAAAAGCATTCTTTTGAATGAAGAACTATTGAGGTAGTTGATAATGATGTGCCTCAGTGAGAATCTTCTCGCTGATTCTACTGATTAGAACTTTCTGATTAAAAAGACGGTTATAAAGATAGTTATTATTCTATTCTGTAGTAATAATCTTCAAAAAGGTAGAAACTCTTACTAGGTTTTTTGGACTGGAGTGAACAGCAGCACTGGATTAAACATTCAATATTCCTTTGCACAGGATAAAAAGAAATACCTTAGAACTTGTGTCATAATCTTTTGAGAACTACAGCAAACCTTCCCAACCAAGACTAACCATACAAACTTAAATGGCACCAACTTACTTCTATGTAAATGGCAATTCTGCCACTTGTGGTTTCCTTACCCTTCCATGGAACCAGTCTTCACAAACTATGCATTGGATCATCTCATCTGGAATCTAAATGAACGGTCATATTATTAGCATTAATAGCAACCTCCAGAATCTTTCACAAGCATCAAACTGCAGTATTATGCAAAGCCTGCTCAAGTGAATTGCATTTCCCTCTTCACCCACCCACCCACAGGGAGCTGCCATTAATAAGCAGTTACTGTTTCATTAGTCGGTTTGCTTCCCTGAAGTTCAGCAGCATGTGTAATTTGTCCTATTATCAAGACTGTGGAAATTCCCATTTATTATTACAAAACTAGTTTTCCCAGTAGAGCAAGGCACTCTCACATAAAAGAGCTGATGAAAGTTAATACTTCATTGGTTTCTGTAAACAGAAATGCATCAAGAGGCAGCTTAGCAGAAGAAAGATACTGATATTCATGATGTCATCAGGTTTACATAGGAATGCCAGAATCCTTACTTAACTGCCCATAATGCAGTACCATACAAACTGCTTTGTTATGAAACAATTATTTAAGATTTCATTAGAAAAGTTTAGCTGTCTCTGAACTGCAGAGAGGTGAGTCTATAAAATACTTTTTTGTATTTGAAAGATTTGTGCCTGCCTTATTCTTTAAAAGGCCTGACTTCTGTGACCGCAAATAAAAGTGTGCATGTGCAAACCAAGTGGTATATTTTAATGCTTGAGACAGATAAAAAGCGTTCTGACTACTATAAAGGAAAGCTAAAGCCAGTGCTACAAGACAGACTCTCCCCATCCCAAGAGCCTTGTCAGAGCCCTGCTGCAGGCACAAGGAAGCAGATTCTGGTCTCTGCTCACACGTGCAACGTGTTTATTCTGTGCTTGCACATTCCTCAGGGAGCTGAGAAACCCACCCCGTAAAGGAACTCTGTAACCTGAGAGAGAAGAAAGCAGTGGTTTTTGTCCAAATGATGGTTTGCCCTCCTCATCTGTCTTTAAGGCATAAACACATTGTACCATTTGGAAAAAAAACTGATAAAGTTAACTACTTTATACAGCATATGACAACCAAAAGCAATACGGAACATAAGATTTCTTAAAGTGGGCTCTTCCCAGCAGGGCAGCTCAGTGACCATGCTCTGCACAGTATTTTGCATAAAACCATCCATATGTGATTACTACTGGGTTTTGTATTTCTTACCTCATCTTCAGGATCAGGATAAGGTCTTTTACAAGTGCAGTATAATCCATAGAAATTGTCATTATACTTATTTCCTGAATTCACCTTGCTCTTTTCCTAGGAGGAAAGGAAAAAAAAAGGTCTCAATACGCAGTGCAGTGAAAACCAAAAGACAGAAAAGATGTATAATCTAGAAAAACCAAATTCCTCTTCTGCTTTAATTCCTAAAAGAAATCATTATACTCATCAGCTTGAAGATCCAAAAAGAAAGATATTATCCAAACAGCTACGCTATAGAGGAGCAGCAGATAGGGCACGTGAGGAATACCGACGTTCAAAAGGAAAAAGTCTTTCCAGATTTGCAATAAATGGCAACTCTGGTGTTTTGTTAAAATACTGCTAACCTAAAACCATGTAAGAGTTCTGGTCGCCAACCACACCTGCCTGCTGCCATTACAGCAAAATCTACAGATTTATCGTGCACCCCCCCCTCCATTTTTTTAAACATCCAGACTGTGATACAAACCCAACTTTGTTTAATCTTACCACCAAGCTTCCACTAAATTCACATCATATAAGCCTAACTCTACAGGAGAGGATTACTGACATTACAAAACATGCAAAATGAAATTCAATTATAGATAATCCCATTCAAAAAAACAAACAACTAACATCGTGCAGCCACAGGACTTCAGAACTGCACGCAGCTGCAGCCTAAGGCCACCATCAGCCCCTGCAGAAACAGCTGTGACCACTTATGGTGTTACTGCAAAACTCTATCACTATTCTGACAAAGGAAGAACAGAAGATGCGAGCACCCAGCATCAGTGAAGTCAGACAGATTAATGGACGGATGCTGAAGGTCACTTAACCTGTACAATTGATTTTGCACTGAACAGAAGGAGAGGAACAACCACGTGATCCATCTCATTGACTCAAATGAGAAACAGCAACATCCTAAATTGGCCCAGGTGATCTCTGTAGGGATCACTGGAGTGTAGCCTTAGGCAGACTAGCTCTGCATCCGTCCCAATTCTGCCAGAAAATAATGGCTTTCCACAGTCGGACTGTTATTACCCTGGGAGCAGCACTGGCAGACGAGCCAAGCAGCTTCCTGTCGCTGCTTCCCAGAAGAATACCAACTACTTGACAAGTCCAAAATGCCCACAGAATACGAAAGCACAGTCTCTGGTGAAAACCTATCAAATAAGATTAGGGCACTAATGCCACCAGGAAGAAGGGGAGGTACCTGTCTTTCAGACAGCAGTACAAACTTAAATGTCCTGAATGCAACTGCAAAATGTCACCCCAAGAGGTTCTCCTGAAGCCAGCCTAAAGCTAATAATGTGTTAGTGCAGGCACCACCTTTCTGGCATTACGCTGACCACAGATGCAAAACTGCTGCACACACGGATGACAAGAATCAAACGTCCTCTTCTCCTCTCAACGTTTCCCTTTGGTCCCTCAACAGTTTTATCTCCTGCCAGAATACTTGCACCTTGTTTAACTTGCTGGGAAAAGCAGAGACATTGCATGAGTCAGTCCCGGCTGAGGCAAGGCACCAGCCTCCCAAGACTGTTGTTTTGATTCTGCATGTAGGAAACCTATGTCTGAACTTACTGGGAGTAACTTGCACTGCAGATTTTTGAACTTGCTATTTCCACAGTCACAGCGGAAGTTCCTGGAAAGAAAAACATCGCATTTCAGGGGTTTTATTAACTGAAAACACATTCATTTTTCTGTTCATAACAATTCCCAGCAGCTTATTAGGAGCCATAAAAATATTCCTGCAGCTATTTAAACAATACCCTCAGAACTGGCCAAAGGGCCCTGAGGCCTCACCCTCTCGGCAGATCTCGGCTAAGACCACCAACTGTGACAGCGCTTGGCTGGGAGACCACAATGGCACAGCTAACCCCGGGTGCTGCAACCACCACACTCAAAAACACAAGCACGTGCGTTGGTGAAACAGGAGTGTGAACTGGTTGGTTTCTGAAGGCTGGACCCACGAAGGCGATTAAACTCTCATCTCTGACTCAGTCATCTAACATCTCACTTAAGTAGGGCTGGTATGGCAAGTGAATGAAGGGAAAAGGGTACCTCGGTGACCTAACCTGGCTCTGCAGAGGGATCTGGACAGGCTGGATCGATGAACCGAGGCCAATAGTATGAGGTTCAACAAGGCCAAGTGCCAGGTCCTGTGCTGGGATCACAACAACCCCAGGCAATGCTATAGGCTTGGGGAAGAGTGGCTGGAAAACTGCCTCACAGAAAAGGACCTGGAGGTGTTGGTCGACAGCCAGCTGAATACGAGCCAGCAGTGTGCCCAGGTGGCCAAAAGCTTCCTAGCTTGTATTAGAAATAGTGTGGCCAGCAGGTCTAGGGAAGCGACTGTCCCCCTGTACTCGGCACTGGTGAACCCCCACCTCAAGTACTGTGTTCAGTTTTGGGCCACTCACTACAGGAGAGACACTGAGGTGCTGGAGCAGGTCCAGAGAAGGGCAACGAAGCTGGTGAGGGGTCTGGATCACAAGTCTTATGAGGAAAGGCTGAAGGAACTGGGGTTGTTTAGCTTGGAGGAAAGGAGGCTGAGGGGAGGCCTTATCACTCTCTACAACTACCTGAAAGGAGGGTGTAGAGAGGTGGGGTCAGTTTCTTCTCCCAAGTAACAGGTGACAGGACAAGAGGAAATGGCCTCAAGTTGCACCAGAGGAGGTTTCGGTCAGGTATTTGGAAAAATTTATTCACCAAAAGGGTTGCCAAACATTGGAACAGGCTGCCCAGGGAAGCAGTTGAATAAGCATCCCTGGCGGTATTTAAAAGACATACAGACGTGGTGCTGAGGGACACGGTTTGGTGGTGGTCTTGTCAGCATCAGGCTGACGGCTGGACTCGGATGGGAGGTTTCGGTCAGGTATTTGGAAAAATTTATTCACCAAAAGGGTTGCCAAACATTGGAACAGGCTGCCCAGGGAAGCAGTTGAATAAGCATCCCTGGCGGTATTTAAAAGACATACAGACGTGGTGCTGAGGGACACGGTTTGGTGGTGGTCTTGTCAGCATCAGGCTGACGGCTGGACTCGGATGATCTGAAAGCTCCCTTCCAACCCAGACAACCCTATGACCTGGGCCGCCCACAGCAACTTTGCCGGGAGCAGCGTATTTTGTAGACGCTCACCTTACCCGTTTGCACGCTGTCCTGCCTCACCGAAACGCGCCGCACAGCGCGGGAGGCTGTGGGGAAATCTCCCCTGGCCGGTTACCCCTCACGGCACAGCGCCGGGGCCGGCCGGGAAAGGCGGGCACCCCTGATCTGAAAGCTCCCTTCCAACCCAGACAACCCTATGACCTGGGCCGCCCACAGCAACTTTGCCGGGAGCAGCGTATTTTGTAGACGCTCACCTTACCCGTTTGCACGCTGTCCTGCCTCACCGAAACGCGCCGCACAGCGCGGGAGGCTGTGGGGAAATCTCCCCCGGCCGGTTACCCCTCACGGCACAGCGCCGGTGCCGGCCGGGAAATGCGGTC